TACTTTAAATAATAATAGAGTCCTGGAGTCAGAATCAGAATCAGAAATACTTTAATAATTTCCTATATATTTTTATACTTAATTCTTATATACAATTTAATAATTTAAAAATACTTTCAAAATACTTTAAATAATAATAAAAAAGTCCTGGAGTCCTGGAGTCAGAATCAGAAATTCTTTAATAATTTCCTATATATTTTTATACTTAATTTTTATATATAATTTGATACTTTAAAAATACTTTAAATAATAAAAATAAAAAGTCCTGGAGTCCTGGAGTCCCCCCAAGCCAATCTGCCTGGCAACACGTGGGATTATGCAGCAGTAACCGGATCATTGGGTGGTTGCGTGTCCTCTGTGTGCAGGGGTTCTGTGGCTGTGCGTGGTGGGGGAGAGTCTGTACGTCGGCCTGCTGCTCACCGGCGGCGTGATGATGATGGTGGAGCAGTGCCCCTGCTTCAGCCTCATGAACAAGATGAAGATCAGTGCCTTCGCCGCCATGTGCACCGCCCTCTCAGGTGACCAGCCCCGAAATCCAATTAAATCCATCCATCCATCCATTATCCTGACCCAGGGGTCGGGAACCTTTTTGACTAAGAGAGCCATGAAAGCAAAAAAATTGGAAATTTATTTCAGTGAGAGCCATATAATATATTTTAAAAGTTAATTAAATGTCAGTATAATAAGCCTCTGAAATTATTCTTTTGAATCATGTTGTTATAATACTCGTGTCGAAGTGCCGCTTTACATTCCACCGTTTCATCGATGCAATTTTTTCATCGCAAATTAAACACACCGCAGAATTTGCTCTCTCCACAAAGGCCAATTCTTCAGTCCATTCGTCCTGAAATGTACGATGCTCGTCATCTTTTTTTCTTTTCGCCATCTTCTTCGTCGAAGGGTTAGCTTTGAGCTAATGGCCGAGCAGACTCATTCAAAAGGGGCGTTTACCTGTTTTACGCTGCAACGGCCAACGTAGTCCAGTATCATCCAATTAAAATAATGGACAATTGCTCCTGCATCCCTGAACAGGACATGAGCAGTGAAAAATCGATGGATCGATATTTGTAGCTTGTACTTGTATACAAGTGAGAATATTTTGTTTTATCTGCGAACCAGATGCAATCATCAAAAGAGCCACACCTGGCTCGCGAGCCATAGGTTCCCGACCCCTGTCCTAACCTCTTATTCCCTAATGGGGTCTAGGGGGGGGCGGAGCCTATCCCAGTAGCCAATGGGGAGAGGCGGGGTCACCCTGGACGGTCCCCAGTCCATCACAGATACACACAGAGACACACAAGGACCAACAACCACACACACTCACACTAAGGGCAGTTTGGAGTCCAGCCAACCCAACATGCAGGTTTTTGGACGGTGGGAGGAAGCCGGAGAACCCGGAGAGAACCCACAGACACAGGAGAACATGCAGAACCACCCAGAAAGGTCCTGGTTCCCCCGGGACTCCAACCCAGAACCCTCTGGTCCTGGTTCCCCCGGGGACTCACTGCTTTTTGTCTGACACCATTCTGTTTCCATCAGGGCGTGTAGCCCGAATGTAGTTCATCCATAGCGTAAACATTTACTTTTTGTCTTCTGTCGGGCCGTTTCCGTGCAGCTGGACTATAGTTTATCTAAACCATGAACATCCTTCCTACACTTTTCTGAACAGAACAGTCTGGGCACTGCATCTGTTTCTCTAAAATCGGCCGATTTATGCACGAAAAGAGTCGCCGTTGTTCACAGAAATGCAGAAATTGCCGTTCTGGTCTGGCACGCGGTTGCGTTTGGATAGTGGATAATGGAGAGGTGGAGAGATGGAGAGGTGGAGAGGTGGAGCAGGGCAGCGGGTCATGATGGCGGCCAGTGGGGCCGCGCCCTCTCACGCCGCCTCGGGGGATTTGCCGGTTTGTAAAACTAATCGGATTGGAAACCGGGGCATTGGTTTTGGGCTGTGCCCAAAAACCTGCCCTGCCCAGAGGAGCAGCTCTCTCCCAGCCACAACTCCTGACTCCACCCCCCCCCCCCCCCCACCCCCACCCCCCCCCCAAACCACCCGGTTAATCCCAGGGAGAGGGCAGCTGCGGTGGGGCCAGATCCAGCCAGGATATGGCCGTTTGCTCTCACCCAGTGTGGATTAAGTCATGTTCCCCGGCCTCCAAAGCTGATATAAGCCGTCATTATGCATTAACATCGGGGTTTCCCTCCTCTTAGCCATGTAGGATCTGCTCCGAGGTTGTTTAAGATCAGGCTTCAGACTTTCCCTCTTCGATAAGTTCCCAGTCATGCAATCACTAATTTTAATTTTGTAATGTCATTGTCTGAACGTGTGTCTCTCTGTTTTGACTGATATTGTATTATGTGATTTTGTGTTTTTGTCTTCCTGCGAATTAGCAACTATGCTAGAATCTGGCTCATTTACCATCTGTATGTGATTGTTCATTAATGTGCACTGTCCTGATTAAATAAATAAATAAATAAATAAAATAAAGCTAGTAGTTAGAGATGGATCAGGGACCCTGAAAGGCCCCACAGACCTGTTTCCGGAGGCCCAGGATGCTGGTCCAGGCTTCTGGTTTTGGTTCTGGTTCTGGTTCTGATGGAGGTTTCTGGTTGTTTAAAGGTGAGATTCCTCGTTTATGCTCAGGACGGTGGATTACATCAGAGAGACGGGTCAGAGCAATCTGCTGGATTCCCTTTTTTTTTTTTAACTGGCTCAGACAGAATCAGACAGTTAGATCTTCAAAAACTGGAATTTATTGGATTGTGATTGGATTACAAGCTTGTTTCTAATTGGTTTCTAATAGTGACGGCCATAGATTTGATGATTTCCTTGTTCTTATTTGCTTCTCTGAGGTTGAACTCGTAGTTGAAAACGTGCACATTTCTGGTTTCAAAACAGGTATTTTTACATGCAAACAGGAACCTTTGTTTAGGTCGTTTTTCTGTCCTCATTCTGAACAGACTTCTGTTTTCCACAGGCCTTTGTGGGATGGTGGCCCACATGATGTTTACCACCTCCTTCCATCTGGCTGTGTCCATAGGGCCGGAGGACTGGAGGCCCAAGACCTGGGACTACAGCTGGTCCTATGCGTAAGCACTTTTAAATGTCTTCTGAGAAACAAAATCTGCCAAACCAGCTGGTAGTTTGTGTCCAAACTGGGTTCGAATCTCAAGGAAAACAGCGATTGTGTTCACTCTTGTTTTGATCTGTGTTGTTATTGTAAATACGTGAGGATTTGTCACAATTTTTACAGACTTGAACTGCGTTCAAACTAGGGTTGTCAAAAGTATCGATACTCGAAAAAGTATCGATACTAAAATGTTGTATCCGGATACGATACTCATTTTCAAAAGTATCGATACCGCTCTCTGATTTATTCATGCATTTATTTATGTTGTTTATGATCATTAACAAGACGTTAGCCTTGAACTGCTAGCTGCGGCTAATGGCTAATAATAACATGCCAACATTAATCAAGTACATATCCGACTCCGCCCACATCCAAGTCGGACATTTGGATTACATCACCAATAGGAAGATCCCAGGCAAGAAAATCGTAATGGCCTCATGGCAGTATAGATATCAATTTAAAAATAGTTAAATGGATCTTTCAAACACTTAATTAAACCTTTTACATATTATGTTAAAATTGTGTATATTAAATAGGTTTGTACAATAAGTCCAAACAAGTTTAACCAAAAAATATTTATTTCTCACAATTATGAAAGGTGGAGGGTTAGGGGTTAGGGTCAGGGTTAGGGTTAGGATTAGGGTTAGGGTCAGGGTTAGGGTCAGAGGCGGGGTTAGGGTCAGGGTTAGGGTTAGGATTAGGTTCATTAATGTGGGCCACCAGTCACGATAACATCAGTAACAGGTCAGTTTGAAATGAAAGACACAATTCAGTTACATTTTGGGGTCTTTGTTTTTATCCTTGTGGTATCGAGTATTTTCCTGAGTATCGGTATCGAGTTGAATATTTTAGTATCGTGACGACCCTAGTTCAAACAGAGTTCTCCTTCGATTCCCAGCTTAGCGTGGAGCTCTTTCGGCACCTGCATGGGCTCGGCGGTGACGGCGCTCAACAGGTACACGAAAACCATCATCGAGTTCAAATACAAGCGGCGGAACATCGAGAAGAGCCTGATGATCAGCCAGCAGATGCTGGAGCTGGGTCTCCCCGACCAGATGTGGGACATGTACCTGACCTCCACCCCCCCGGAGCTGCCCGTTAACGGCCAAAAGCCCCCCACGGGGTCCCCCTACGAGCTGGAAACGGACAGTGGAGCAGAGCAGCAAGTGGAGGCCTATTGTTGAAATGGAACTGGCAACCGGACCCATTCCTGCTCTGGGATTAACTCAGTTGGATTCTATTCAATTTTATTTACAGTGGGGGAAATAAGTATTTGATCCCTTGCTGATTTTGCAGGTTTGCCCACTTACAAAGAATGCTTATTTTTCCTCATCAGATGGTTATCAATTTTTATAAATTCATATGATGTGATTTTCTGGAATTTTCTTTGGGATTCTGTCTTTCACTGTTAGAATGTACATATGATTAAAGTTATAGATCGTTGCATTCTTTGTAAGTGGGCAAACCTGCAAAATCAGCAAGGGGTCAAATACTTATTTCCCCCACTGTATACAGCGCCAAATCACAAGTCAGACCAGACTCTGTGGTTATTTACAGAAGAACAACAGTTCCCACCAAGAGCAGCACTGGGCGACACACGGAAGGAAAAACTTCCTTTTAACAGGCAGAAACCTGGAGCTGAACCATGGCTCAGGGTGGGGGGGGGGGGGGGTCTGCCCCGGCCGGTGGGGGGTGTGAGAGAGAGAGAGAGAGAGAGAGAGAGAGAGAGAGAGAGAAAGAAAACGACACACAGTTACACATAGACTGGATGAAAAATGGTAAAGATATTGATACTAATGATAATGATAATGAAGTAATGATAGCAGTAAGACTATGAACAGAGGCTCTAACTGTGGCAGAGCAGGAACACACAAGTCCGTCTGGATGCAGGAAGCCGAGGATGGATATCCAACTCCGCCCACATCCAAGTCGGCCATTTTGATTAGGTCACCAACAGTAAGATCCCAGGCAAGAAAATCCTAATTGCTTCATGGCAATATAGACATTAATTTAAAAATTAGGAATTAATCTTGCAAACAATGTTATGTTAAAATAGTGTATGTTAAATAGGTTTGTACAATAAGTCCAAACAAGTTTAACCAAAAAATATATATTTCTCACAATTATGAAGGGTGGAGGGTTAGGGTTAGGGTTAGGGTTAGGGTTAGGGTTAGGGTTAGGGTCAGGGTCAGGGTCAGGGTCAGGTTTAGGGTCAGGGTTAGGGTTAGGTTTGGGGTTAGGATCAGGGTTAGGGTTAGGGTCAGGGTCAGGGTTAGGTTTAGGGTCAGGGTTAAGTTTAGGGTTAGGACATCGTTTGTCTTCCAATTTCGTATAGACAGTAAAGTTTCGTTTCCACCTCAGAAAGCTGCTAGTCACATGACATAATCAAAATGGCCGACTTGGATGTGGGAGGAGTTGGACATCCAACCGAGGCATCCTCCAGATTGCACAGCTCCAGAACCAGGAACCTCTGCAGAAAGTGAGGAAAGGGATGAGAAAGCACACGACTACGGGAAAGGGAGAGAGTCCAGTTAGTAATATCGTTAATGGAGGGAGAAAGAGAAAGGAAACATCTTTCTTAAACTTTCTCAAAGCGTCTGATCCAGGAGGAGCTTGTTTGCAGCCCCCAGCTTCTCCTCCAAACGATAATCTAACATGGTCAGCTCTCACAAACATGCCTGTAATCAGGCTGTTCGTGACTAAACGTCGTCCACATTAAGCTGTGACAGGCTGGGGATGAGCCCCTCCTGCACAGATAGGCCCTAAATATTATAATATATTCCAATATTTCTGTCAATGAGTTTTGGTTCTGTGGCTCAATGCAAATTTAGCCCTCTCAGGTCAAAAAGACCTTTGAAAACAGGCTGTTTTTGGGGCCTATTGTAAGAAATAATGTCATATTTCTCTTTTCTATTGGAAGAAATAATGTCATATTTCTCTTTTCTATCTGAAGAAATAATGTCATATTTCTCTTTTCTATTGGAAGAAATAATGCCATATTTCTCTTTTCTATTGGAAGAAATTGTTATATTTCTCTTTTCTATTGGAAGAAATTATGTCATATTTCTCTTTTCTATTGGATGAAATAATGCCATATTTCTCTTTTCTATTGGAAGAAATAATGTCATATTTCTCTTTTCTATTGGAAAAATAATGCCATATTTCTCTTTTTTATTGGAAGAAATAATGTCATATTTCTCTTTTCTATTGGAAGAAATAATGTCATATTTCTCTTTTCTACACACGTATGCATAATTTTCCCCCTTTTTTCAAGAAGTAGTTGTCAGTTTGAATAAGAAAATCACAGCTCAGTTATGTGTGGAAAAGGTAAAAAGGAAAAATCCCAAAGGCTTTCAGAATCAGAATAAGGTTTATTGCCAAGTAGGTTTTTAGACTTACAAGGAATTTGCCTTGGTGTTTGGTGAACAACACTTCTATGAGAAGCAAGGAAGGAAATAAAATGTAGAAATAAAAATATAGAACAGAAATTATAAAACTAAAAATACAATCTTTAAAACTATAGATCTGAATGTATTATTTACAATAATTGCAGTATTGAAAGTAAAAATCGTTGCAATTGTGTGCAAGAGGCAGTTTTCTGTGCCAGAAAAAATATTCTGTGAATCTTATGCTCCATGAAGGTCCATTTGTATCCTAAAAGTGGCATAAATATTCATAAAACCCCAATAATTCATGAGGAATTATGACATTTAGTTTGTCAATAAAGGATGAAGAGGGACACAATTCCTGAAAATAACAAGGAATTCTGTGGAAGTTAATCTAAAAACGGTCAGATGAAAAGGACTTGCTTCATTATTTTTAAACCTGCAGGAATCAACACCAACAATAACCTGTAATATTTCAAATTAAAGTGTCAGAAATACAGTTCCCACCTTTGGATACGGGAGTGAAATTTTCAAACCAGAACAATTATTGGATGGATTGTGGGAAAATCAGGTTCATGAATAAAATAAAACTTTCTAACAGCCTGTCATTATCATTATATTTGGTTTATGAGCAAGAAGGATAGTTAGGTTATGTAGAAAAGTAAAACAGTGCCTATTTTCTAGGATCAGTCTGATTAATATTAAGGTAAAAAAAAGTGTTCAGAACAATCATTTATGCTCTTTGTGGACATTTATTTTGGCATAACGGTGAGTTATAACAGCATCCTCATAATATGTTTAGTTTAAGAAGAGAATCTTTTTTTTAAACGGGATTTGAGCCTCCCCAGAGGAAAAGTTTAGTCCGTTTCTTGGAAGCAGATTGTGCATTTTGTGCATTGTTTTCTAAACATGGCATCATGATGATGTTAAATGTGCATAACGGACAGCAACAAAATAAACCCATTTCAGACTTTTCTTTGACAGATTTCACAGTTCTTCAGATTTCTGTGTTCTACGTGTGTGTATAGGGAGAATAAGAATCTCCAAGACATCGATATAATTCAGTTTTATTCATTGAAATTATCAAAAAAGAATCAAAAGAATCCAGATATGAAATCGTATAAACATTATACATTGTTTTAAAAATCACAAGCTGAAAGAATATAAACATTTTCTCTCTTCATGTGACTTAAAACATCTCAAATGAAACACATTTAATTACTATAAATGGTGTATTTCATTCTAACATTAGCTGATTAAATTAAGATCAGATTTTAAAACCCTACACTTAAAGCTCTGCCAGGTGTGTGGTGGATGTGAGCAGTCAGGTGATAACAAGCTCTTTGTAAAGCTGTTCGGGGTGATCTTCGACGTATTTCTTTATGTACCAGCAGGAAATGCGTGCCTTCAACTTCTCCTCCACCAAAAAGTCCATGGCGGCCTAAAAAAATGAGCACAGACAGCTTTAAATACTGACTCTCCCAGTGTGACTCTGCTCAGATCAGACCTGTGGGACTCCAACCTGGGAGAGCAGGGCTGCAACACCTTGGCCTCGAAATGTTTCCGGAACAAAGGTGGACATCAGGTCCACCTCCTTTTCTGCGGTGAATCTGTAGAGCAGCACGGCCTGCTCCTGGACCCCTGCGGACAGAGACCCAAGGGGCTTCAAGCTGCACTCAGTATGACCGGGATCCTAAAGAGGATTACAGTCTGTGGAGGTTTACAGATGTGCACAGCTGTTTTCAGAAAGACAGTTGCTGACCAGGCCTTTCTTTGAACACAAAATGATTTAATGCACTAACTCAGAGCTAGAGTTACACCTTATTCAGTTTGATAAACAAATTAACCATGAACAACACCAAACAAACAAACAAAACTCCAGCCTTTCAAATCTACTACTATTGGAATAAAATTTGGCAAAAATCTATTAAATTGGCCTTAACTACTAATCCTAAACATGACGAATTGTAAACTGAGTTGACGTAGTCCGTATAAAATAAATATTAAAGACAAAAGTTACTGAACAGCTGCTCACAGCCAAGGGCACCTTTAAAATCTTTTATTTTTCTATTAAGTTTGGTTGTGCATTTTTTCTCAAGATAGAATAATACTCTCGATTTTTTATTAGAATAGAAAAATACAGGTAAAACAAATCTAGAAATGTCTTAATAAATAGATCGCGAAATGAGCTATTTTCAACAGGCCCCGGTTACACACCGGGCTCCCCTACAGAATCTACCCGGAAATAGAGCCTCGGTCCCGGCTGTGATCTCACCGGAGCCCGCTCCTGGAGCCACGGTGAAGCGCCGGTTCGTCCGGTCATGTTCCACCGTCAAACCTCCGTCACAGCTCCGGGCTCGGAGGTTGGTCTGGCCGGACCTGATCTGGCAAGTTAACCCACAGAGTCTGGAAGTCATTTTAGAGGCCATTTCTTCCAACAGAAACAGAGCTCCGCTGCCTGTGGACGCGCTGTCGTTCTCCACCGTGACCACCAGGGGGCGCCAAATATTTACAATATATTTATGAAAGACCTTTAATAAGTAAACCAATTATTTGAGTAAACTTTTGGGATGATTTAAAAATTTTTTGTAAAGACATCATTGTAAATTATGTGTAGAGGTTCAACAACAACAAACAAAACAAAGTTTAAAAAAGGAAAAAATAACATGTTTACTGTTGTGTAATATTTACCTAGCTCCATTTTTGAAGGTTTGTTTTCTTAGTAACCACTCAAACTAAAATTGATTATTTTATCCTAATTATTCAGATTAGTTGATATGAATGAAAGCAACTCATTT